TAAAAACATTCAACTATAAATTTAATACAGCACTAAATAAAAAGTTCAACCCAATAAAAAAACAAAGTAAAAGTTATTAGCAGATATCAAACCATTTTTTAAAATCAATAACTTCTATAAGATAAACAAATTCCAGAAACTGAAAACAAAAAAAATTATTTACAGTTCTTTCCTCAAGTATAAAATTTAAAAGTGTTAAGCAGCCCTCTTCTAAACTAAAACATGGCGCTTGGGCATTAGCCTTAAATTTTATACTAATATAATACAATACATTCATCATATCAATCAACAAAGAGTCCCTATAAATGTAATAGAATATTTATTGTCCTAAATCAGTCTCAGAAAAAAACTGACTCACAGTCCCAATTAGAACAAAAACCTAATTTCAAACATTCAAAAATGTCTTAAGGGCAATTCAGTTCTTATTTATTGCAAAACAATCCATATGTATAATTATAAGCATAAATACTACTGAAACAATAACTCAGGATATATACACTGAAAAAAATCATTTACTATAACATAATCAGTTGCATCTAGCCAACAGACTTGGTTCAGCATTAGGGCATAGCTAACCTAAAAATGTATGTGGTAGGCAAAGTAATGCAGACCTCATATTTCCTAATGCAGAGGGTTGGTTTCATTTTATACAAAAAAATTATTAAAAAAAAAGCTAATTTATGTAAAAAATAGAAATCGGTTATATTACCTCATATTTTAAATATAATTAATATAATTGCCTAATAGTAAGCTATTTTGCTTCATAGAACATTAAACAATAATAGACTAATTCATAGTATTAACCAATAGTAATAAGTTATAAAACTAAAAAATAAATTTAATATTTAACTATAAATATAATACAGCACCTCATAAAAAGTCAAGCCAATAAAAATAAAAGTAACCATTTTAGCTGATATCGAACCATTTTCTTACATCAATAACTTATAAAAGATTAACAAATTATAAAAATTTAAAAGAAAAAAAAACTATTAACAGGTCCTTTCTCAATCATAAAGTTCAAAAGATTTAAGCAGCCCTTTTCTAAATCTAAACATGGCACTTAGACATACTTAAATAATGCAATACATTCCTCATATCAATCAACAAACAGTCCCTATAATTGTAAAAGAATCTTCATTGTCTTAAGAAAAGGTCCAGAAAAAAAATTAACTCACAGTCCCAATCAAAATAAAAGGGCAATTCAGTATTTATTTATCGTAAAAGAATCCTTACACTTAGCGCAAAATAATCTTGAAAAAAAAAAATATATATATATATATATATATATATATATATATATATAAAATAAATTTATTATCTAAATTTATATATTAAATTTATATATATATACCATAAATAAATAAAAATATTCAACTATGAATTTAATACAGCACTGAATAAAAAGTTCAACCCAATAAAAAATAAAGTAAATGTTTTTAGCAGATATCGGACCATTTTTTAAAATCAATAATTTCTATAAGATGAACAAATTTTAGAATATAAAAACAAAAAAAATTATTTACAGTTCTTTTCTCGATCATAAAGTTTAAAAGTTTTATGCAGCCCTTTTCTAAACTAAAACAAGGTGCTTGGGCAATAGCCTTAAGTTTTATACTTATATAATACAATACATTTCTCAAATCAATCAACAAACAGTCCCTATAAATGTAAAAGAATAAATATTGTCCTAAATAAGTCTCAGAAAGAAACTGACTAACAGTCCCAATTAGAAGGAAAACCTAATTTCAAACGTTTAAAAATGTCCTATGGGAATTCAGTTCTCATTTATTGTGAAATAATCTTTAGACTTAAAGCAAAACAATCCATATATATAATTTACAAGCATAAATACTACTGAAACAATAACTCAGGATATATACACTGAAAACAATCAGTTACTATACCATAATCAGTTGCATCTAGCAAACAGACTTGGTTCAGCATTAGGGCATAGCTAACCTATAAAAGGTATGTGGTTGGCTAATGCAGACCTCATATTTTTTAATGCAGAGGGTTGGTTTCATTTTATACAAAAAAATTATTAAAAAAAAAGCTTATTTATGTAAAAAATAGAAATCGGTTATATTACTTTATATTTTGAATATAATCAATATAATTGCCTAATAGTAAGCTATTATATTGCTTCATAGACTATTAAACAATAATAGACTAATTCATAGTATTAATTGATAGTAATAAGTTATACTTATAAAACTAAAAAATAAATTTAATATTTAACTATAAATATAATACAGCACTTAATCAAAAGTTCAAGCCAATAAAAATAAAAGTAAATGATTTTAGCTGATATCGAATCATTTTTATACATCAATAACTTTCAAAAGATTAACAAATTCTAAAAATCAAAAACAAAAAAAAATTATTTACAGTTCCTTTTTCAAAAAAAAAGCTTAAAAGATTTAAGCAGCCTTTTTCTAAATCTAAACATGGCACTTAGGCATTAAATTTGAATTTTATTTTTATATAATGCAATACATTCCTCATATCAATCAACAAACAGTTCCTATAATTGTAAAAGAATCTTCATTGTCTTAAAAAAGGTCCCGAAAAAAAATTGACTCACAGTCCTAATCAGAATAAAAACCCAAGTTAAAATATTTAAAATATCCCCAAGGGCAATTCAGAATTTATTTATCACAAAAGAATCCTCACACTTACTGCAAAATAATCTTGAAAAAAAAAAAAAATATATATATATATATATATATATATATATATATATATATATATATATAAAATAAATTTATTATTTAACTTTATATATAAAATTTATATATATACCAAAAATAAATAAAAATATTTAACTATGAATTTAATACAACACTAAATAAAAAGTTCAACCTAATAAAAAAAATAAAGTAAAAGGTTTTAGCAGATAACGGACAATTTTTGAAAATCAATATTTGCTATAAGAAGAACAAATTCTAGAAAATAAAAACAAAAAAAATTATTTACAGTTCTTTCCTCGATCATAAAGTTTAAAAGTTTTAGGCAGCCCTTTATTACATCAAAACATGGCGCTTAGGCATTAAATTTAAATTTTATACTTATATAATGCAACAAATTCCTAATATCAATTAACAAACAGTCCCTATAATTGTAAAAGAATCTTTATTTTCTTCAAAAAGGTCCCGAAAAAAAATTGACTTACAGTCAGAATCAGAAACAAAAAACGTAATTTTAAACATTTAAAATATTTCCAAGGGTAATTCAGTATTTATTTATCGCAAAATAATCTTAAATATATATATATATATATATATATTTATATATATATATATATATAAATATATATATATATAAATATATATATATATATATATATATATATATATATATATATAAATATATATATATATATATATATATATATATATATATATATATATATATATATATATATATATATATATATATATATATATATATATATATATATATATATATATATATATATATATATATATATATAATTCAACCTTTTATGTGTATGAAATCAAAAAAATTATTTTTTTTACCTTCGGCTATGTTATCAAATATATTTTAAAATTGGCATGTTTAGCACTAAATTTGTTTTATGCGTAAATTTTTGTTTTCACTTTGAAGCAATGACGTATGCTACATCACATAACTTTAAATGCGTTACCAAATTACACTCTTGTTTTATTTTTGTAAATAAAACAAAATAAAACTATAAATAACATACAAAATATAAATTTTGTATTTTATTCTTTTGAAAAGCGTTGTCTGTAATTTTTTGAAATTTTGTTGTCTGACTTTAATAATATTTGTATCGGTTCACATACAATTTAAGTAAAATTTTTTTGCTTTGAAAATGTTCTAAGAATGATCATATTACAAATGAAACAACAAAAATATATTATGTTTTTGATTATTTTGCTGAAAAGTAACATTTCTTAAAATCAACTAAGTTCTTCATTTCTGCACATCTATTTAAAAATCAAAGAAAGTTTTGATATATTATTAAATGTTAAAAAATAAAACATTTTAATGGTTTTATATTCTTTTTACAAAACGAAACTATCTATAATATTTCAAAAGTTATAAAATTTTGATTAACACCCCTTAAGCTAGTAATTTAAAAAATTAACAAGAAGCCTTATTGAAAATGAATCCACCTTGAAACAGCGGAGCTGAAAATGTTTGGCTTAGCTTTAAAACTCTTGACCTCAAAACTGACATGACATTAAGGCTAGGTGCTAATGTGATTATTATTATTATATTTCTTTTTTATACTTGATAAGAGCTGGATACATTGTCTTTAATTTATACTAAAGTTTTATTTACAATAGCTAATATAACCAATCCTTCTTCCGCTCCTCGAGTGATCAAGGTGACCAATTTTGATGGGGATGTAAGTTTATAAAACAATTCAAAATAAATAGAAAAATATTTATTGGAGATACACCTAATTATAATATAAATATAATTTATAATATAAACTATAAATGCAAATAAAAATATAATATAAATTATAAATATAATTTATATTTATAACTTATATTATATTTATAATATTAATAAAAATGTCCAACCAAATAAATATGTCCAACTGAGCTATGTCCATCTTAACAGATGACACACAATCAGGGATATCTCCAATAAATAGTTTTATACTAACAAATTTGTTACAAACTAACTTTTTATTATTTTGTCTAACATTAGTTATGAAAGGCAAATTAACAAGTTAGTTTGTAAAAAAAGCTTACACTTAGAAAATAATGGACATATGTTATTTTACCTATTAATTTAAGTATAATTAATATATTTGCCTTATAGTATGCTATTTTTCCTCATAGACTATTATATAATATTATATAATAACAGACTATTAAATAGCATTTATTGAACGTATTAAGTTATACTTAAATAACCAATAAATAAATATATTATTTAACTATCAATTTAATTCAGCATTAATTTAAATTCACTAAAATAAAAATAAAAGTTTTTACCAGATATTAAACCATTTTTTAAATCAATATTTTCCAAAAGATGAACAAAATCTAGAAAGTAAAATTAAAAAAGATCATTCACAGTTTTTTTCTAGTTTATAAAGTTTCTAAGTTTACAAGCAGCCCTTTTCTAAATCCAAACTTGGCACATGCGCATTAGTTTTAAATTTTATATTTTTCAAGTGCAATACAATCCTTATGTCAATTAACAAACAGTCCCTACAGTCGTGAAAGAATCCTTATTGTCTTAAAACAGTCCCGGAAAAAAATCGACTAACAGTCCCGGTCGCAATAAAGTCCCCATTTCAATTCGTAAAAAATGTCCCGGTCGCAATTCAGTCCTCATTTATCGCAAAACAATCCTTAAACTTAGCGCATAACAATCCTGAAAATATTTACGCTCATTCTTATTATTATTATTATTATTGCTATTATTATTATTATTACCATCATTATTATTGTTATTATTATTATTATTATTATTATTATTATTATTATTATTATTATTATTATTATTATTATGTTTCCACATTAATTAATTTATATTTTCCCCTGACTTAATTTATATTTCCGCATAAACCTGTAATAACTTTAAATAACTCCCTATCTAACCTTTTAAAAATCAAATAATTTTTCAAATTGATATATTTATCAAAAGCAATTTTATATGACGTTTATTTGCATCTTTAGTATATATAACGGGTTTTTTTTTTGTTGTTGTTGTTGTTGTTGTTAGAAAAAAAATCTCGTTTAATTTTTACTACTTTTATATTCTATAAGAAATTTTATCACGTTCATTTATTTAATCGATCATGTAATGTTTAATTTAATTTTTATATTAGAGAAAGTGCAGCATATTTGGATGCCATTTTTGTTTTTTGAGAACAAGCAGAAAAGTTAATGGGTTAGTTCAATTAAAAAACACTAAATTATAGAAAAATTATTTTTTTCATATTATAAAAAATCAAAAAAATTAGGATCCTTATCAAAATTTCTATCGAAACAAGAACCTCCAAAAGTATGATTTTACTTGAGGTACAGGTAATCTGGAATATAGTATTTCAAATTCTATTTACCTTTTTCTCATTCATAAGTAAACTAAAATCAAAACACAATCATAAATCAATAAAGTTTCTTAATAATTTATTCAATTAAAATGAGGGCTTTGAATATATTAATAAATATTTATGAAGGATTGCATTCTTACCAAAAAAGTTTTCAAAAATAATGTTTCGTTAACGTGCGACTGTCAGCAAAAATATCAAAATAGTTTACTGTTTTTATTATTCATTTACTTCATGTGCTATTTGATCTTTTGTCTCTAAAAAAAAACACAAATGGCGTTTATGTTATTTGAGATATTCGAGTATTCCAAATTACCTGCGGTATTCCAAATATGCTGCACTTCCTCTACATTGTGTTTAACTTTTATTTTATGTTTGTTATTTTTTTAAAGAACATCCTAATATTTTTATATTTCAATTTATAACTCATTGATGAGTTTGTTTTTACAACACTTCAAATGCTGCTTTTTGAGGCTCTGTAATAAGATATAAACGCTGTAATAACCGGACTTTTTATATATATTTTTTAATTATTTTTTTTTTTTTTTTTTTTGCATATGTTTTTTTTTAATAAGATCCAATGACTTATAATTAAAAAATCCATTATAACATAAATATACAAAATACAATGTGTACTTTAAGATGACTTTTAAATGAATGAATAAAAAGTTCCTTCTATTTTATTGAGCTATTAAAAAACCTTTTATCGTACGCTTGAGAAAATAAAAGGAGAAAAAGAAAGGAATGTATCTTGGCTCAAATCGTATTTAAAACTAAGAGCTAAAAACACATATCTTAATCTAGTAACACATTTTAACTCTATTCACGTAATTTCGAAAATAGTTTAGCACTCTGAAAGGTTCTCCGAGCTTCTTGTTTTTATCATTTCCTTAGAGAATATCCACTATTAAACTTAATCTTTCTCTAAAATCTTGTTGAATGTTGATTTCTTCATTCTGGTTTAAGTTGCTTCTTTTATGCTGATCTGCCTTGATGCCGAAAATACTTGGAAAACCTTATTAAGCAGTTAAGTGTTGACAATCCAAGTTTAAGGGATCTTAGCTTCATGGTTTTTTTTTTATTATGACTGACAATTTATACGCTTCTGATGGTTTAGCATAATATAAGTTAGAGGATTGAGTAGGCGTTCATCGCTTGCCCAGGTATGTGGCCTATATATGGCAATTAGCCGGAGCAGTATTAACACAATACCATTCTAGGCTATTAGCTTTGTTTCATTATATATATATTTTTTTTAACATTGATGTTATGTATGAATTGTATATGCATTTTTATTGTTTGTTTTTATAGGCTAAGAATTGCCTTTAATTTTTTAATTTAAATTTTAATAACATGCAAAACGTACAGATTTTAATAACATGCAAATTTTAATAACGTGCAAAATGTACAATATACAAATTTTAAAAATAATGCAAAATATGAAAATTTTACAAATTTTATGCAAAATGCAAAATATACAAATTTTAATAACATGCAAAATGTACAGATATGATTTTATAAAGTTAACGTAAGAAAATGTAATGTTTTTTTAATCGTGATTAAAGGAAAGAAACTCGTGTTAATATTTGTTTAACTTTTATTTGCGTATTTATACAAAGCATATAAAAAATTAATTATATGCTGCTAAACTGTTTGTAATTTCTCGTATCTCAACCATTTTAAATTTATTCAATCCAATATCAAACTCATTGTACGAAATTCGTCCCCAAGGAAATATTTTTGCTATCATTAATTATTGTCTAAAGAGAGTATACAAATATTTGTCCGAATGAATTTTATTACGTACAAACATTAATGACTATCTAAAGGAAATATTTCAAATGAATTGGTTGGATATATATATATATATATATATATATATATATATATATATATATATATATATATATATATATATATATATATATATATATATATATATATATATATATATATATATATTATATATATATATATATATATATATATACAAGAGGCCTGCGAAGCTTCGAAATTTCAAATATAATCGAATCAAAAATATGATTCGAGTTACGATTCGAAAATTTTCCAAAATCAAATCCTTACGTATTTTATTTTTGTTGTGGGTATTTTAGATATTCTGCGCTTTGGCGCTGTCAAAATAACGTTATTTATCCTTAAATACCTTTTTATTCGGTCATTAAAAAAGTTAACCAGGGCAAAAAGCATCAATAAAGAGATTATACAATTGTTTTGTTTTATTTTATTCTGAAATAAATATTATTAAATAAAAAATGCTTAAATTTAGACTTCAAAATGTTGATTCGAAACGTGATTCGAATTGCGAATCAAGACCTGCTTTGATTCGAGATTCAATTCGAAACAAAAACTGCCTATTTGCAGGGCCCTAATATATACAGGGGTGGCGGAAGGAAATAAAAAGTGGGGGGGGGGGGGGGGAGGTTTAAAAATATTTTGTAAATTTTATAAAACTAATATTAGTTTTCAGTTATTCTTAAAAGGAAACCACATCCATCCATTTTCAATAAAGTATAATATCAACTATAAACATATTTGACTAAAATTTAAAATTAAAAAAATATGTTACAATCTAAAAATAATTTAATGTTTTCCAAAGTAAGAAATTCTGGTGTCTTGACTTTTTCCATTTGTAAAATCTTTTGTTATAGCTTTTACATCTATTTCCGCGGCGTTCAATTGATAAATTTGAAGAAGTAAAAGATGATTCAATCGCTTCTGAGTCAAGGTCGACCGACCTTGACTCAGAAGATCTTTCAATCTCATCTAAGAATGACTTTATCATTCTTAGATGAGAAAAAGATCTCTCGGCTGTGCAGGTTGTCAATGGTAACGTCAAATAAATTTTTAGAAGTTTTGATATTTCAGAAAACATTAATGAAACTCCTTTAGAGTCGCTTAACATATCAATTATAGTAGTGATTGATGTTACCTGTTTAATGTTTATTTTGCATGTAATGTTATAAGTTTCCTTAATGGATTTATATAGAAAATGTTTAGCTTTTAATTTTTCATAAACTATATTGGTTTTTATAGAATACCTTTATATTATCTAAAGCTTTTATGTCCGTATCACCATTTGAAGTGGACAATAATAACCTTTCTAAAGCAATTATTGATTCCATTGAATTTTCTGGGAACCGCTAATTTAATTGACTTTCTATAACATCAAGTACCTCGTAATACTGAGGTCGGTAATATTCCATCGTGTCCCATTTGTAAATGTTTAAAATATTATCATCAAAGCGAGAAGAAGTTAAACGTTGAGGCAAAAAAGCATGAGGTGAATTGCAACCAAATTTCTAACTCCTTTATTAACACACGATTCAAAAAATGATTTAAAATGTGTTTCTTATCTAATAGATGATATATGAATTTTTAATAACATTATTGATGAAGCAATTGTTTAAGCATCTACTTCAGCAGATTGCATATGTTGAGAGACTTGCTCTACAGTTGCAAACACATCATAAGCCAGGTGAAGCCCAAAATGTAATTGAAATGATAATAATTTATCAAACAAACCTTCTGCTTCAGCTCTGTTAAAATCATTTAATTCAGAAATATCTTGACGCTCTAAAACAACTACTTGAAAATTTGTCAGAATTGAACCATATGATTTGGTCTTCGCGGTCAAACGAGTTGGACAAGGAACACTTAAATTGTTTTGCTTGACATCCTCGTCAAGTATATTGCGTTGTAATTTTTTATACCTTACTAGTCTCTTTGGAGCTAAACAAATGAAATTATACAACAGCTGGCACAATTCCTGTCCCTCGTTCATACAACAGACTTGTTTACAAGCATCTTGAAGAACAAGGTTGAGCCGATGTGCGTAACAATGTATAAAAATCGCTTCATTGACATCATCTTGAAATAGTTTAGCAACACTACTTAGATGCCCTGACATTGAAGCGACACCATCGTAACTTTGCCCCTGCACCATTTTCTTGTCTAGTCCACGTCTTAATAAAACATCACATATTGCATAAAAAAGCAACTTACTGTCGGTAGCATCATCTGCATAGAGACCAAGAAAATCTTTGTATATTGTAAAATTTTCAGAAACTGATCGAAAACATATAGACATTTGCTCAATACCGAAAATGTCTTGAGTTTCATCGCATATTACAGAAAAAGAAATTCTCGATTTAATAGCACTAAGTACATTTCTTGGCACATAATTTGCCATTAGTTCTATCATCTCGTTAACAATATCATGAGACATGTACTTACTGTTTGAGAGCCATCTCGATAGAGGTGGATAATCTTTACTCTTCATTAAAAGTAACTGATTAAAATTGCCTTCAATTTCATCATTCCGTCATTCAATCAGAAAAACAAGATGAAGGAAGCGAATTCCGAAGAACTGATGTTCGAGGAAAAAAACTAGACAAATAAGAATTTTTGTCTAGTTTTAAAATTTAAAATTAAAAGGTTATGATTATATTAAGATTATACCCAAAATGAGGTGATTGAATTTTTTTCTAAACATTCTAATGTGATATAAGAAAGAACATGCTTAAGTTTGGCACTTAAGTATGTTTTATTTACCAAAAGTATATTTGTTAACCAAAATAAGGTTTTCCATAATTATATTACGCAATTTTACGCAAGTGGACATCATTATACTATTGGTTACCATAAAGTCTTTAAACTAGTTTAATATGGTTTTTAGCAACATTAAGCACATTAAAAGACCTTATTTGTACGTTTCTATATAATAATACTAATAATTAAAGACGTTGTTAATTAAGTAATTCTAATCGGTTTGTTGATAAAAGAAATTATGAAACCATGTATTTTGTTTAATTTATATTTTCATGGATAATATTTTTTTAAACCATTATTTCATACTTTAAAAAAAAACTATTCAAAATTTCTGTTATTTATGCAATATTTTTTCTGTTTTAGTATATTATTTTAGAAAAAAATTTATCTTTTTTTTAAATAACATACTAAAACAGGAGAATTTGGTATTTTAGCGACTTATATATTAATTTTTTAGGTATATTTTCAAAAGTTACAAAACTATAATTGTCAACTAAAATAAACTTATTAAACTCAAATTAAAAAAAACACATGATCATCATTTTTTAATGACAAATTTTTAATGACTTTATTATGTACGGATATTTAGGGGCTTGGCAATAAGACTATTTTTGTCTTCTTCTTGCCCCCGCCATTTGTATATTTTACAAAAGAAAAGTAATTATTTATGACATCAAAGTTAGAAAAAAGTAAACTATAAAAATTAAAAAATCAGTCATTGCATTAAAGAATGTCTTTATATTATAAAAAAAAAACAATCAATGACCAAATTAACTTTGAAAAAAAAATTAACTTGATAATATTGTTTGAAAAATACGAATGATCTTGTCGACTAAAGTCACTTATAAAAACTCAATTTTCTTCGACAAAGATGAAAGTCCGTGTCATTTGATTCTTTATTAACTTTGTCAGATTTAAAGATGAAGTCCGTGTCATTTGATTCTTTATTAACTTTGAAAAAAAAAAACAGTTTAACTAACTGTCGCTCCGAACTTTTGAATGAGGAACAGAATTCGATTGTCAGACGAACTTATAACTTAATTAAAGATAATATTTTAAATCCCCTAAATAATTAGGGAGGTTGTTCAAAATTTATATGGTCATAATTTTTCAACACTAAGAAATTATTGCATGATATAAGAGGCTTGTTAATGAACTTAAATTTAGTTTACAATGTTAAAAAAAATGTATAAATAAATGTTATAAACTCGTCGCTCTCACGCTAAGGGGCTGTTCAATAATTATGTCAACAAAATAGGAGAAGAGGGTCTAGAAATTTTTGACAAGGGGAGGTATAGAAAAATTGACGTCAATAACGTTATATTTTTAAATAAATTTAGATACTTCGTTACTAGTCATGCCTACTGGCCGAGGATAAAAGGATCAAAAACGAGACTAATTTATGCCATGATCAGACAGCCTGCCACTTGCAATCAAAGTTTACTCATTTAGAGAGAAATCTTGGAGTTCTCATCTCAGATGATTTAAAACTTAAAGCTCAAATTTCAGCAGCTACGGTGAACACTAATCACTCCTTATAGAGGCTGGAAAAAACTTTTCGCAGCCGCAGTTTTTTACTGTGAAAAGAATTGTACACCACGTATGTTCGTCCTCACCTAGAGTATGCTATCCAAGCGTGGTCACCATACCAACGGGGAAACAAAGAATTGTACCGCCAAGCAGCGAATGTTAGGTCTTACAACACTTGAAGAAAGAAGAATGATAAGTGATTTAATTTTGATGTCCAAGTTTATACGTGAATTCGATGAAATAAAATTTCACGAACCGTTCAATCGTCCTTCGTTGTCAAAGTATATTATGCATGGTCATAATCAAAGACTAATTCAAATGCAATTGAGTACTCTTTGCACAGCAAAGAGTACTCAATTGCATGCCAAGAGAGAAATTTTTCACGAACCGTGTTGTTTTGCAGTAGAATACCCTGCCGCAAATAGTAATTGACGCGAACTTCCGTCAACATGTTCAAAAATCTATTAGATAAATATTTAAATCAGTTTAAAAAGAATTTTTAAACGATAACTGGAAATAAACTCTCTTCTCGTATGTTTCAAGTATTCAATTATGTTTCTAAAGTATGGTTACTTGTGTCGCAAATGTGCACCAGTATCATAAGACTGCCCAGTGGGCATTTCGACGTCGAACGAACGTCGAGCGACGTCGGATCTCGACGTCGGATCGACGTTGGGTTTACGTTGGAAATGGAAATGTTATTTGACGTCGGATAAACTGACATCGCGCGACGTTGGCATTCCGATGTAAATCCAACGTGTTTTTTGAAAACTAAAACGTTACCTTTGGCAGGAATCGAACCTTGGTCTATTAGATACTAAATCCTACGCGCTTACCACTACACCACAAGGACATATAAATCAATGTGTTTATTTAGTAATCTATACTTGTAGCTATTTGGGAATTATTACTTTGATAAGAAATAATTTTGTTTAAATATTATATAAATATTAAAACGAATAGTTATATATTATAAAAAATGTATACTCGAAAATGTTAATAGTTAAAAAACTATGCTAGTGCATCATACAAAACCTCATGATGTTTTATCAACTATTATTCAAACTTTTTTCCATTAATAAAAAAACACGCTTAGTTCACATAATTATTGAAGAGCGCAATTGCTCACATATTGTTGGGTTTGGATTAAATTTTCATCAGCGATGTCTTACAACGTTGTTCCGACGTCGTTTTAAGGACGTTGGATTGACGTCGGAAGACGTCAAAAGACATTGGAGTACGTTAATATTATGACGTTGCCCGACGTCTTTATATCGAAGTTGGATCGATGTCAGTACTGCGACGTTTTTTGGACGTCTTTTATAAAACGTCGGAACAACGTCAAAATACATCGAAACGACGTCAGGGGATGTTGAGATAAAGACATCGCCCGACGTCATTTTACTGACATCTGAACAACGTCGGAATAGGTCTTTTGACATCGCTGATGAAAATTGTACGTAAATCCGACGTCGGATTGACGTCGGGTGCCCACTGGGTGTTAGTATAGTTTACAATTATTAATCGTAATATAACAATATAACAATATATTAACTTGGTATCTGAAAGAACATCCAAATGATCTTGTGGCCAGAACGATATAAAATATATCATACGTGTTTATATAATAAAATAAAAATACAATTGATCTAATAACTATTAACAATGTAGAAGAAACAAAAACTGAAAATAATTTTACAAATTATTCAGGGTGAAAAACAAATTTTACATTTCAAAAATATTTATATATATTGCCAGTAGAAAGAATATAGTTTTTTAATTTAGTTTCAAAAACGGAAAACGAAATTGACAAATCAAAATTTGGAACAACAGTTTTGTTCCATAAATACGGTGCTCGGTAGTTTATGCAAAATTGAATAAACTTTGTTTGACAAAAGTATAGAGGTACCTGATGCAGCACATCTTCAAATTATTGAACACTTAAATAAACTAAACTAAACTAAACTATAAAAAAATAAAATTAGGCAGTGTTTGCAGTCTTGTATAGTCTAGACACTAAATATATTTCTGCTTTTTTTTTAAACTCTGTTGTGCTTTAAAAATACATCACACATACATAACTAAATCAACACACGCCAGATGTTTATACAACACTATTGTTTTTTTAAAGTTTGTGTTTATACCGGGGATCGCATAACATTGGATTTATAAGCTACATGCACAAATACTATTATAATATTGAAAACAAGATGTCAGCAGCTCTTTTAAAAACCAAAAAATTTTTATAAATTATAAAATTTACCTCTTTCGTCTTTAAAGATTGCTAACCCCTTGTTTATACAAATTATTAAATGCATTATTTTGCTATACTAGACTCTATTAGAATTAGTTTGCTCTCAATTTGAAATTGGATTAGGTCTAAAGTTAAAGTAAGGAGGATTAACACATTCACGTTTTGTGACTCTGCACTGTAAATAAATTATGATAAAAATATTATGACAAATATTTAACATTATCTAGGACTAGATCTGTTGAAAGGTACGTTAGTTACTACCGTTATCCCAATTTACACTAATGTTAACGTTACTCATCCAAAAACAATATATATATATATATATATATATATATATATATATATATATATATATATATATATATATATATATATATATATATATAATTATATTTAGATGAATAAAAACAACTGATTAGCGGGACTTAAAGTTTCATGCCCGAAGGCAATCATCAGCCGTTAATACAAACAAAAAACGTAAACAAACCGTTACAAAAACGTAAAAATTACTGTAGAATAATAATAATAATAATAATAATAATAATATATATATATATATATATATATATATATATATATATATATACATATATATATATATATATATATATATATATATATATATATATATATATATATATATATATATATATATATATATATATATATATATATATATATATATATATATATATATATATATATATATATATATAATATATATATATGTATATATATATATATATATATATACATATATATATATATATATATATATATATATATATATGTATGTATGTATGCGTGTGTGTGTTTCATAACTTACAGATTAATTATATATATTTTTTAAGTTTGCAACTATTAATCGTAATATAACAACTTAAAAATATAAA